AGACTTGGTGCAGGTTGGAAGCAAGCTAACCACCACTCACGGATTGAACCAGGTGGTAGCAAGGAGAGGTAAGAAGGGGTTGGGTACTGGATCCAGAGCCAACAGGACTTGCCTTCAGATTGGATGCGGGATGTGAGAGAAAGACAGGATTCTAAGGTCACTCCAATGTTGGTGGGCAGAGAGCAGGAGTTTGTTGTGGGGATATGAAGGTGGAGCCGTCTATGACTGATCCAGGTGGAAATGTTGAGTAGACAATTGCATATCCAAGTCTAAGAGTTGGGCGAGGGGACTGCTTGGGAAGAAAACGTTGGTGGTTGTCAACATATAGATGGTCTTTAAAGCTATGACACTGGGTGAGGTCACCAAGGAAGTGATTGTGGAGAAGTGAAGAGGACCAAGGCCTGGGCCCGAAGTGCCCCCACCCTGAGAGGGAAGATGAGCTGGACAGCCCCGGAGGTGAGAAGGGGCAGCAGGGGATGCAAGAGGGAAACCCAAGGATGGGAGTGCTCTAGAGCAGCGGTCCCAACCTTTCGAACCTCACGGACCACCAGTGGCCCACGGACCACCGGTTGGTGACCGCTGCTCTGAGCCAAGGCTAGAGAGTATTTCCAAGAGGAGACAGTGGCCAACTGTATGGAATGAGGCAGCTGCTTAAGCAAGATGATTCCTGAGAACTGAGGGCGGCTCCGACAGGAGCATTTCCAGTGGAGCAGTGAGTAGGATGTGTGCCAGCAAGGATTGGATTGGGAGAAGATAACACTTTTGAGAAGTTTTTGTTGCAACTGGGCAGTGACCGATAGGATGAGCAGATGGGGAAATGGCAGGACTTTGCGTGCTGGCAGGAGGCATCCAGGAACGAGGGAAGGCTGACCATGTGATGGTGTGGGAGAGAATTGCTGGAGCAACGTCCTTGAGGGCGTGAGAAGGGACAGGAGCCAGGATACCAGGATGGCAGCTCCGGACCAGAGCACAGACAACTCCTATAGGAACGGGGCCACGGCACAGGTGACTCCTATAGGAACGGGAGAGAGCTGCCGGGAGATGGGAGGTTGGCGGGAGTCTCTGGAAGTTTCTTTCATTTTCTCAGTGAAGCAAGAAGCACGCCTATCATCTGGGAGTGCAGAGGGGAGGAGGATTTTGAAGTCAGAGGAGGGAGAAGAAGAAAACTCATGTCGAAGTGGACCAGGGAAAGGAATGAATGGACCAGAGATGGCATGAGGCCATTGAACTCTGTGCTCCTAAAGTGACAGTGAGACCAGTTCCAGGCAGGGGTGTGTTTCACTCCAGCCACGGTCAGCTGCTGGGTGCAGCTGCTGGGAGTTAGTGAAGCTGGATTTAACTCTTAAGAGAGTCAAGAATAGATGCAAAGGAGGTTAAAATGAACTTTTATGTTATATATATTTCACCATAACTTGAAAGAAGAGCGTCTATATGCCGGTGTCATTGCAACGAGGGATGTGGGTCAGAGAAATGGACCCGAGGTTCCAGTGGAGTCACAGGTTTTGGGGGTCAAGGCACTGGACAGAGTGGTCAGAGAGTGGAGTGCTTGAGACTGATACCGGGGTGCGGACCACAGCGCCTGGAATGACAAGGCACAAGAAATGACCTGGGTGTGAGTGGCTGGGGATGGGGTTCGGGGGAGGATCACTGGAGGTGAGGAGGCCAAGGAATCAAGACCAGAGGATCTGAAAAGCAGCAGGAAGAGGGCAGGGAGTTACACTGGTGGGAGTGACAGTGAGCTGGAGCTGGAACCCCCAGAAAATGAAGGCACCATGTGTGGGGATAAGATGCAAAACTAGGGCCTGGAAGCTGCTGCCATGGGCCAGGAGGGGTACTGCCCCACCTCAAGGTCAGTGCGTGGCGGGGGGGGGGGGGGGGGGAGTTCTGGGGAAAACATCGTCAAGGGGAGCTGAGCTCTGTCACAAGAAAGCGAAAGGGATGTTCACAGAAGTGGCCAAGTGGATCGGACATCTTACTTATGACAGAGCACAGAGTGGAAGGGCTCAAGCTGGTGGGAGAGGAGAGCAGAGAGGGTGCTGGAGCCTTGTGGAGCCACGCCTGCAGGAGTGGAGGGAAGTGCGGGGTTTCCTATGGCAGGAAGGCAGGTGCCCCACAGGTAGCCCACAGGCGTGGTGGAGAGGCAGAGTGTCGGGTGAGGGGCAGAGGGCAGGGCTCCCTGGGCCCCACGGATGCAGAGGAGAAAGTGCATTTCAGACCCTGAGAGCGGGGCTCACCCTTGACTCCAGGTGAAGCTGAAGACATCTGGGAGGCCAGGTCTCTGGGCTGTTCCATGGATGTTTTATCTATACATTCCACTGCCCGTTGCCATTTGGTTTAATTTCCCCAAAAAATGTCTTCAAGGAAATGCAGATGAATTCTTTTCTCTATTCAGTTCTCTTCACTTGGGTGACATCCCAGACCTCAGAATGTAGTGGCTGGCGGAAATCCCTCTGACCACCTGGTCAGAGCTGTGGCTCAGGCCTCAGGAGTTTTCCAGGGTGAGGAGCAGGATCTTTGGTCACCATGACATTGTCCTGACACTGGTCATAAAGTGCAGCCAAGGGTCTCCCAGCCAGGGAGCACAGGGAGCCAGGGTCCATGCTTGAGGCTTGGCAATGGGCGGCAACTGTCTCTCCCCGGCATGCCAGCCAAGGCCCTTCTGGCTTTCTCCGAGGTCTGGGTAAGGTAGCAGTATCTCATTTCACAGAGGAGGACGTAGCACCGGGGGCGGAGGTAGCCTTCCCAGGACCACGCGTAGCCGCCATGAGCAGAGCTGGGTGTCCACAGGAAGTCATGAGCTGCCCCTGAATGTGGTCCCCAGCCTCCCAGGCAGTGAACAAAGTGAGGATTGGACCAGCATCTGTTGATAGACTTGAGGTGGGCCAGGATGTTAAGGACATAAAGAGGGGTAGGTGACTCCGTGGAGCCTCAGGCATTTGGCAGATGGCAGGAGCAGAGCTGGAGGAAAGGCTTCAGCTAGAGAGAGGGTTTTGTGAGGATGGGTGGGGTTCCCAGCTCTATGGATCCAGGTAGGCTCCTGGCCTCAGGGAGGCAAGGAGGGACCTGTGCTGCTGCTGCTGCTGCTGCTGCTGCTACTTGGTGTCTTGAAGGCCTGCGAGTCCCGAGGCCACAGATCCCCCTTGCGTTTTCCCTAAATGTAACTGGTCCAGGAGTAAGGATGTTTCTATGGGACTGAGGCTGTTTCTATGGGAACGTCCCTGCTGCCCGACCTGGCAGAACCATGCTGGTCCCACCCAGTCGGCTGCAGTGGGCAGCCTGGCTGTTAGAGCACCACTCAGGACCAACCCCATCCTTGCTGAAATGGGGACCAGGCCAGTGTGGCTCCTTTTTGCACGGAGCCACAAGCTGCTGGGCATGAACTATTACCCAAAGAATGGGAGAGGGGAGTGAGAGAAAACTGGCTGTGAATCCGAAATGTGCCTTCCCTCTGGGCTGCACGTGCTCAGGCCCCAGAGCCTCGACTTTCTCTCCTCCCTGACCGGCAGTTTCAGCATCCTGGTGTTGGCCCTCACTGTATGTGAGGGGCAGCAAGGGGGTCACGGAGCCCCCATAGACAGAGGAAACCCACTCACGCAAACAGGGAAAGGACTTACTCATCTGACTAACCTTTACCCTGCACCTGCTTTCTGTGCAGCCCTTGGGGGACCTTGCCCCCCTCCAAGGGGGCTGACAGCATAGTAGTGAGGGACCAACGGAGGTGTGTGTGGGACAGGGACCCGGTGTCTTTGTGGGTTAGCAGCAGCCCTGGCTTGGCATGGTCCTTGCTTCTCTGTGTCTGTCTCTCTCCTCCCCGTCTCTCTGCCTGGGTTCCCGTGTGTGTCCGATGGAACCCTTGGGTTTCAGGGCAGGAGGGCCCTTTTCCTCCTGAGGAGCTGAGGGGCGATGGTCACACACCTATTTTGGTGGCCTACTTTTTTTCCTGTTTGCTTCTTTCTGTCATATTTGTCTCTTATATATGTTTGCAAGCTGACACAGAAAGGCAAAGTCTCAGAGAAAGACAGACAGCCCCTTAATAGTAGCAGACCGCGTCCGGGGCACAGAAACACTCTTGCATGAAGAGAGAGGTCCCTGCACCATGGCTCTGGCCTGGGCAGTGGAGGAGGGGGTGGAGGACAGTGCCCCCACCCATGGTCTGGTCCTCCAATGTCCTGTCCCTGTCCGCGGGCGGGAGGAAGCCCCTCAGTGTAGGTGGGGGCTAAGGTGTCGGCTCCCCTCCACTCACCTCTGGGGGCTGGGCTGCCCCCTCCGTCCCCCTAGGGTTCCCTGGGGGCAGGGACTTAGGCCAGGCAGGGAGGCCGGGGTAGAGCTGCCGCTGGCCCCCTGGCTTGCCCTAGAGTTTAGTGAGCAGGGGGCAAAGTGGGGGCTGGGTTTAGGGATGGCCCAGGCCCCTGAAATCAGGGGTTGTCAGCCTGAGCTTCTGGTGGTCTCGCTTCATTTCCATTCTCTCTCTCTCTCTCTCTCTCTCTCTCTCTCTCTCTCTCTCTCTCTCTCTCTCTCTCTCACTCACACACACACACACACACACACACACACCAATCCAAGAGGGTCATTCCATTCTGCTGCGGAAACCTTTATTGCTGGGGTAGAGGAAAGGGGGCAACAGAAAGAGGTCTCCCCTTCAGGCGGCGTTCCTTTGTTCCTCCCCGCCTCCCCCCCCTCCCCTCGCCTCCCCTTCCCCGCTCCCCTCCTCCGCTCCTCGCTCTTCACTCTCCCCGCCTCCCCTGAGTGGGGTCTTCGGAATGGGACCTCCACGGAGGACGGGAGGTGGGACTCCAGCTCGGCGCAGCGCCGTGACCATCCTCCCGCAGGGAAGGAGTTAAGTCGCCGCCGCCTGCCGCCTCCCCGCCCCCCCGCGCTCCGAGTCCTGCCGCTAGGCCCGGGGCTGACCTTCACCGGGAGGGAGGCCCAGCGCGCATGCCCGGCCGGGCTCCCGCCGCTGCCCCAGCCCCGGGAGGCGACAGCCGGGGCGGGCGGCTGCGGCCGGGCCACGTCCCCGCGCCGGGCGCGGTCGGGGGGCGCCGAGCCCGTCCCGCCGCCGCGGCGCATCCCTCGGCGCGGGGAGCGGCGCTTGGCCATTTGGTGCCGGTGGAGCTTCGCGGCGAGGGAAGGAGCGATGGGGGGACGGCAGGGGGGACTCCGGCTCCGGGCCGCCGGCGACCGCCCTCCGCTGGGCACTCGCCCGTCCTGGCCGGAGCGCGAGCTGGGCCGGCCGGCACGGGCGGAGGGGCTCGGAGGAAGGCCCCTGCCCGCTGGAATCTGGGCTTTCCCTGGCCTCCTTCCCACCCGGCGGGACACGGCGGCGGGGCGCTGCTGACCGCCCCTGGGGCTGAGCGGCTGGGGCTCCTGGCCCCTGTGACGTGGAAGCTCTGGCCGGTACCCACACTGGCACCTCTGCTTTCTGGCCCGAGGGCTCCCTGTGCCCGACCGCTAGGGCCGCCCCTGTAGCGACGGCACGCAAACGTGTCTGCGGGCGGGTGCCGGTGGATCTGGCCTGGCGAGCGGGCTGTGGAGCTGGTTAAGGTGCGCCCGCAGGTGCGGGTCCTGGTGGCTCCTGTCCCCTGGTGTTTGCATTAGTGGGGTGCCTGGCCTATGGGGCGGGGCGTGCGTGCGTTACAGGCAGCATAGGGATATCTCCCAGGGGTGGCTGCAGGGGAGGCCCTGACCTTGATTGGCCCAGAAGGGGGTTCTTGTGGACCTGAGTGATACCATCTCCTGGGGTCCACCGCAGCCCTTGGTCCAACCCCTCTGACAACTCCACCACAAGACCAAGCCCCCTCACACATGCTGGGCCATCCTACCCTCAAACTGCCCAGCTGGGTAAGGTCGCGGGGCACCCACCCCTCCTCTGCTGTTTTCTTTTTCCAAAAAGCCTCTCCAAGAATTGAGAACTCTGCTTTACACAAAGCCGAGGGGAGTCTACCCCTGCCCAAGCACCCACAGAGGGTGGGGGTGCCCAGCCCATGGTGACTCACGCCTTCAGGTAAGTGGCCAAGTACGAGTTCTGTCCACTGGCCACTGAGTTGTGGGTGGTTGCAAGAGTTAGCAGGCATTTGGTCATGTGGAGTTCCTGTGCCCAGGCATGGCAGCCGAGCGAGACTTAAAGCCAGTCCCTGACCTCAGGGGACTACAGACCTAACACACATGAAGCCCATCAGACCTTAGTCAGCCCAGTGCCAATTCATGCCACAGGGTAGGTGGTAATGACATTCGGAGAAGAGAAAGATCCGTGTACACGAGTGGACAAGGGAAGGCTTCTCGGGGAGGTGGGGCCTGAGCTGGGCTTTCAAGGATGAATATGATCAGAACAGGCAGACAGGAGGTGGAAGGCATTCCAGGCAAAGAATATCAGGAGCAGAGGCTTAGAAATGGGACTGAGCGAAGGAGGGGGGTAGAAGTTAGTGAACAGGATGGAGAGATTGCCTCCCCACCCCACCACCCCCAGGGCCCAGTCTCTGTGGGTCTGGGTCTGGGGTGGAGGCTAGGTAGAGATTTGGCAGAAAGGGGGTCTCTAGGTCCCAGCTAAGCCCCGGTGGAGGAGCGGCATCGTGGACCACCCCTCTTCTCTGGCGTTTCAGGGGACTGACAGTGGATGCCCAAGCAAAACCAGGGTGCAGTCAGAAGAGACTCCCCATGCAGAATACTCCCACAGTCTTGGTCTTGACCTCTGAAGGCATTCTGAAGGGTTGAGGCCGAGGCCCCTCCACACAGCCCCTATCCCCCCACCCCCACCCCCAGTGCAATGCTGGATCTGAAGGCCTAACTTCAAATACGTTTCCAACAAGTTGCCCCCTCTCCTCACCTGGATTCTGACAGTGCAGCCAGCCCCAGGAGGGCCGTAAACTTGACCCACTGTTGTTCCCAAACCCCTGAGTTCTCCCTTCTGAAGGAGGAGAGAGGGGTGTGGTTTGGGGGGCCATGGGCGGGGCCAGGGGGCCTAGCCTGTAGATCTCATGACTTGCCCCTCCCATTTCCTGTCCCTCGTAACCCAGAGGACTGGCTGCTCCCACCACACCAGCCTCCTGCAGCGCCCTCGTGACTCCCCCACCACCCTGCTCTCTTTGGGGTCTTGAGGTTGGCTCTGCCAAACCCACAGGAGCCCCACCTACTCCGAGTCGCCCACCCCGCACCCCATTCCAAAGCCGCCGGGCTGCTTGCCTCGTGCTCTCTACCCATCCGTTGACAAGCACCCCCATCCTTGCCTCCCCCCACATTTTCCTCTTCCTGTTCTCATGAGCCCTATCCACCTCTTCCCAAAAGACATCCCCTCCTGCCCTCACTTTCACACAGAGACACACACAGCCTCGCAGGCCCAGAAATAGACGCACACGGAGCTGGGAGGCCCCGGCCAGGTCCCGCCACACACGCACCCGCCCCGCACGCGCCCCGCGCCCCGCGGAGGAGGCACACAGAGGCGCCGTCTGTGCGCGCAAACACCCCACCAGCCGCCGAGCCGCGGTGCGGACAAGGGCGCTCACAGATGCGGGCGCCCGGGGACGCCGCCCCTCGGCACACCCACCGCCGCCGCCGGCGCGGGGGGAGGCCTGGCCCGGCTCGGCGCCCCCGCTCCTCCCGCGAATGTTTCCCTCCTTGGCCCGCCAGGTCCCCGGGGAAAGGGCCTCAGAAATGCGGCGGGAGCCACTTGGGGAAAAGTTGGAACTGGCCGTTCCCTGCCCGCCCCGCCGGCGGACTCCCCACCCGGGACACTGTTTGTGGCGGAGCCGGGCGGCCGGCGAGCCCCCGGCCACCTCCCCGGCGCCCCTCCCCGCGCCGCCTCCCGCGGCCCCCGGTCGGCCTCGGCGGCCGTGCGGCTCCCAGCGCCGGAGCCGGGCTCGCCGGCCGCCCGGCCGCTTATCTGCGCTGTTTGGGCAGCGAGGCTGGAAGGCCGGCCGGCCGGTCCCCGCGGAGTCGGCGGCAGACCCCGGCGGCGGACTATTTCTGTCTTATCGGCGCAGGAATGCGGCAGCCGCGGCGGCGGCGGCGGCGTGGGCCGTGGGCCGTCAGGGCAGCCCTGAAGGGGCCCCCTCCCCACTCCGCTCGAGTAGAAGTGTGAGAGCGCCCAGCAGGACTCGGAGGGGAGAGTTGGAGGGAAAAAAAGGCAGAAAAGGGAAAGAAAGAGAAAGAGAGCGAGAGAGTGCGAGGAGCCGCCGAGCCCACCCCGATGGCCGCGGACGAAGTTGCCGGAGGGGCGCGCAAAGCCACGAAAAGCAAACTTTTTGAGTTTCTGGTCCATGGGGTGGTGAGTGGGGGAAAGTTGTCGGGGGGGTGGGGGGTGCGCTCCTGGCGCGGGCTGAATGGAGGGCCGCCGGGAGGGGCTGGCGGGGGCCGCTCTCCCCCGGCCACGGCGGGCACCGCAGCCTCGGCCCAGCCCGGGACGGAGCCGGCGCGCTGGCACCGAACACGTCGCCAGGCGGCCGCCGGGGATGGGTGCCCGGGCGGCCAGGGAGGCGTTTGCCTGGGTTCTGGTCAGGGGCTGGGGTGGGGACGTGGAGACTGTCCCCCACGCCCAAGTGGGGCTCCCCTGTGTCCCAGACATGTTTCCTTCCGTTCTTTCCCCTGTGGGCCCAGGTGTTACCCCTGCCCTGGGGTGGGGGTGGGGGTGGGGGGCATGGCGTGGGCTGGACTGTGTCCATCGTTGGGAGAGTGTCTCTCTGATTGTATCTCAGGAGCAGGGAGCAGGTGACCCCTGGAGGCACTGGGAGCAGGAAGCTCTCTGGCTGAACAGCCTGTGCATCTCATGAGGAGGACTTTGGGGCTTTGCTGGTGGCCTCTGCCATCAGGGCCAGAGAGAGGCCCTCTCTAGGGACAGACCCCAAAATTAAGGGTCTGAGATGGATCCCCTTGGCAGACTCAGCCCCCAAAAGCTGCTTCCCTAATGCCTCAAAGGTGTGAAGGAAGGGCTGGCGTCAGGGAGTGAGGCCTAGAGGCCAACGCGGGGAGGCAGCACAGGGAGCCTGAGGGAGGCCACGGCCACCTGGGGGCATGGGAGCCTCCAGCAGAGGCAGCAGGGCCAGGTGGGGAGAGGTGTGGAGGGCAGGTGGACGGGAGAGGCAGGGGCGTCAGAACTTGACATGGGTACTAGAGTTGGAGCCAGGTGTAGAGGAAGCAGTCAGATCGACTGTGGCCAAATTTGGTTCTGACCCCAAGGAAGGCACGCTGTCAGTGAGGCAGGCCCTGGAGCCTCAGCCCATCACGGGGTGGCCCTGGTGGCTGCCACAGCTCCCTGGGGCCTCTTCAGCAGGGCAGTATCACTGACCTTGATAAATGGGAGAGCAGCTGATAAGGAAAATGGGTTTCCTTGGGGTGGCCTGTCCTCCAGCCTGAACCTCTGGGGCAACGCCCCAGGGGTGTTGGTGTTGGCCCGCTGAGTTGCCAGTCCTAACCTTGTTGTTTGGGGAGTCCCTTTAAGAAAGCCCATCTAGGTGGGAGGAAAGCTACACTTGTGGATTTTTTTATTTGGTCAACTTAGAGCTTCCGTTCTTGAATGGGTCTGAGCCCCCACTGCCCCACTCCCAGTGCCTCATCTGTGCTGGTGGGGAGCGGCTGGCCTAGGCTCCCTTCTGGGCCACCACCCTGGAGGGGTGAGTGACAGGGTCAGCTGGGTGGGGGAGGCAGACACATGGACAGGCAGGTTTCACTGTGGGAGAGATGGACAGAGGCAGCTGGTTGGCTGCAGGTTAGGTTAGACATAATGCGGGGCTGGAGGGAGAGTTGGCAGTTAGAAGGAATTCACCCAGTTTGGGGGCAGGGCTCCTCCTTGTGCCTGGGGGCAGCTGCGCTCCTGGGGGTAAAGTGGTAGTATTTTTATTGTTGTTGATCCTCACCGGAGGATATTTTCTCCATTGATTTTTAGACAGAGTGGAAGGGAGGAAAAGAGACAGAGAGAAACATCGATGTGAGAGAGACACATTGATTGGTTGCCTCCCACACATGAACCAACCTGGGCCGGGATTGAGACTGCAGCTGAGGTACATGCCCTTGACAGGAGTCGAACCCGGGACTCTTCAGTCCCAGGGCTGATGCTCCAACCACTGAGCCAGACCAGCCAGGGCTAAAGTGGTAATATTTAAATGATAAGAGGGCCAAGGGGCTGCATCCCTTGCTCCCTAATCTTCTTCTTGCTCTCCATGTCCCAATCCCCATCCCACCCAGCGTCCACTTCATAGCCCCTCTGTCCTCCCCAATCTCTCATCTGGAATCTAGACAAGTGGGGTTTCAAAAGTCTGTGGAACACTTCACTCCGTGTATTTGCATCTCATTTACATCCCGTCTGAGCACCTGGATAGTGTCAAGGGAATACACCTGCCTCATCCATCTCTCCATAGCCCCCTTTGAACCCTGACTTGTGACCTCACTGGGTGGGGTGGGAAGTAGAGGAGGTCTATATGATGAGTCCATCTCTGGTGATTCAGGCCTACAGGAAGGAAAGATGATTCTAAGAGGAAATATGCTGCTTTTGACCTACCCAAGCCCTCTGGCAGCCCATCTCCGGCTCCTCCCTTCTCCCCTCCTTCCCCCCCATCAGAGAGTGATGGTGGGGTTTGACCTCAGCCTCTCAGGTTGCCTCCAGACCCACCTCCAGCCTCACCTTGGGAGCAAATTATGGGATGGACCGAGTCAGCGAAGCCCCTAGGTGTGGACGCTTAGAATAGCTGAAGGGGGTTGGGGGTGGGGCTGAGGGGTCAGAAGCTGGGCCCAGAGAGAAGAGAGGGTGGAGATGGAGGGAGGGGGGCGAGTGCAGGGCAAGACGGCCCGGGAAGCAGGGAATGAAGGGAAGCGGGCCTGCGGGAGTCCCAGCGGGGAGCTCGGCCCTGACCTAGGTGCAGCCAACTGGCCACTCGGGCTGCCTGTGCCAGGAGGAGCCGTGTGACCTTGGCGAGGTCACGCCTCTCCTTGAGCCGCGGTTGCCTCATCTGTCAAGTGGGGATGGAAGGACCCTCCGAGTCTGTTTTTCGGAGCAGCATGTGGATGTGCACATCCTTTGAAAAGGTTCAAAGGCGCCATTAATATTCATTTCCGCGGTACCTTCCGCAAATCCGAAGCTGGCGATGCCCCGTGCAGTTGCCTGGCTGCAGTTAGCTTCCTGCAGCGAGACGCGAAGCCCCCTCCGCCAAAGCCGCGCGGTTCCGGCGCCCCTGCCCCTCCCACCCTCGTTCACGCCGCTGCAGCAGGGTCACCAGCCGGGGTTTGGGGTGGGGGAGACGCGGCTCAGGACGCCTGGAGCCGGGCCCTGCTCTGACCGGCGGGCGCCTGTTTCTGCTTCACCCCCGCCACCCCCCTCCCCAACCCAGCGCCCCGGGATGCCGTCTGGAGCCCGGATGCCCCACCAGGGGGCGCCCATGGGCCCCCCGGGCTCCCCATACATGGGCAGCCCCGCCGTGCGACCCGGCCTGGCCCCCGCGGGCATGGAGCCCGCCCGCAAGCGAGCAGCGCCTCCGCCCGGCCAGAGCCAGGCCCAGAGCCAGGGCCAGCCAGTGCCCACCGCCCCCGCGCGGAGCCGCAGGTGAGTGGGGCCCGGCGCGGAGGGGGCGGGCCGCAGGGACGGGGTGGGCGAGGAGCGGGATTGGCAGGGGCGAGGAGGCATGAGCAGCAGGGGCCGAGGCGTCCCGGGAGGGATGCCCTCTGGAGAAGTGGAGTGAGGGGCACTGCTCTGGCTCCTTTGTGTGCCCAGCGTAGACGAGCTGCGGCCGCAGCGCCCTTTCTCCTTGTCACCTGCTCCAGCCCTCTCTCCAGCCCTTGTTCCCAGGTTAAGGGTGATGCTTCAGTCTTTGGGGTTGGGGGGTGGGTGCTGGCAGAAGGCCTGAGAGCAGAGCTGTGGGACTGTGTTTCTCAAACTGTGGTTGTCCGGTGCACCTTCCCCAGAATTCCCTGGCTTGACTGTTTAAAGCCCCATTCCAGATCTTGGGAATCCGAATCCCTGGCGTGTGTGTGTGTGTGTGTGTGTGTGTGTGTGTGTGTGTCTGTGTAGCAGCTTGGGAATTTGCCCTGTTGGGGTGAGGGGATGTCTTCTGCCCAGTCCTGCTCGCAGGCACTCAAAGATTGAAGAGCTGTCATAATCTGGCCTCTGGACCAGGTCTGCCTCCAAGCCCCCAGGGCCAGCCCATGTCCTTGTTGGGGCCAGCTGGTGGCACCCCCAAAGCCCCTGCTGGTGCATGACAAGAGAAATGCCCCTTTGGGTTTCACTATTTAGCCAAACACACATGCTTCCCTCTGCTCACCACATGGAGTCCTGTAAAATGTGTAATATGGATTATACCTCATTATAAAATATTTTTTACACATCGAGGAAAATTCCCTGTTCATAGAAATCCTACGGTGAATTCTCCTTCAAAATAAATCATCCTGTTATACAGTTAACAAGTCCCTGATTTGTTTTGTACAAATGGAGAGTCTCACATAGATACTTTGTTCAAAACAAGTCAGACCTGCCTGGCCGGTGTGGCTCAATGGCTGAGCGTCTACCTGAGGTCACAGGTTCGATTCCCAGTGAGGGCACATGCCTGGGTTGTGGACTCAGTCCCCAGTGAGGGGCGTGCAGGAGGTAGCTGATCAATGATTCTTTCTCATAACTGATGTTTCTATCTCTCTTCCCCTCTTCCTTCCTCTCTGAAATCAATAAAAATGTCTTTTAAAAAACACAAAAACAGCCCTAGCCGGTTTTGCTCAGTGGGTAGAGCATTAGCCTGTGGACCAAAGGGTCCCGGGTTCAATTCCAGTCAAGGGCACATACCTTGGTTGCAGGCTCCTCCCCAGCCCGGCCCGAGCACGAGGCAACCAATCGATGTGTTTCTCTCACATCATTGTTTCTTTCTGTCTTTCCCTCTCTCTTCCATTCTCTCTAAAAATCAATGGGAAAATATCCTCGGATGGGGATTAACAAAAACACAAAAACAAAACAAACAAAAACAAGTCAGACCTTGAGTGAAAGCTCCTCTTCTAACCTTAGAATAGATTTCTGGACAGGGAGGGGCAGTAGTTGAGAACACCACATGGGGGCAGTATAGAGCCATCCTTTAGGCTGGGCTATTCACTTGCCAAGGATTCTCTGGGGTGCATTTGGAAGTCAGAAGCAGCTAGTTGGTCAAGAATAATCCAATCCCCCCCCCCCCCCGAAGTCATGTCCCAGGGGAGAATGTCCCCCACACACACTCTCTCTGAGTCCCTAGGAGAGTGTCCCTCTCCTCTCAGCATCTCCTCCAAGCCCAGGGTGGCAGAGGTGCAGTCCTCACCAGCTTCATGTCACCACGTCCTGCTCCAGGGATTGGGGTCCGGGGGTCGGCTAGCCTTCCTTGGACAGTGCCCCCCAGTTTGGCAGCATAGGAAAGTCCTCAGGAGCCATCCTCCCTCTCCTCTGTCCTCTCTCCTTCCCAGCTTTCCCCAAACACTTCTGCAGCTCCCCACCTCAGCCCCTAAGTCTACGATTGTCTGGCCCTGTCAGGGCACATGCCTGGGGCAGAAGGAGGCTCCCAGGCCAGAGAAAGGAGGAGTCACCTCTGCCCCTAGAGAGGACAGAGCACGACGCCACACACCACCTTTGTTGCCCCTTGAGCAGGCAGAGGAGTGGGCTGTGGGAACCCCAGCCAGGCGGGCGGAGAGGGGGGATAATTTAGCAGGTGGCCTCCTTACTCCCAGATCTGTTACCATGGTAACCTGGTTTTTTCTTTAAAAAATGTACAGTGCCAAGAGGAGGAAGATGGCTGACAAAATCCTCCCTCAAAGGGTGAGTGCCTTTCACAGAAGCCCCCAGCAGACCCTCACCCCTTGCTGCCCCACCTCATTTGTCTCCCCTCCCCCTAAGGAGCAGAGCTTCAGCGGTCACAATCACTTTTACTTTTTGTTTAAAAAGCTAATTAAGAAGTGAGGCTCCCCAGGCCAGAGGGAGGGGGTGGGATAGAGGGAAGGAACAGAACCCAAAGGGTAGCATCCTGGGCCTGGGGTGCAGTGGGCTGAATTGCAGCGGTCCAAACACATGCTGAGCTGTGGGGGGGGGGGGAGGGCAGGGGGGATAGCTAGTTTAGACATCAGTTGGAGTGACTGGGTGAGGTGCCAGGGCAGAGGCAAGCAGCCACATCCCCTAACTGTCTCAGGGACACCAAGGTCCTAGCCAATTTACAGACACCCAAGGATAGCCCAGAGGCTGTGTGACAAAGGAAAGAGCCAGAGGAGGAGGTGAAGCCCGAGTTTGTTGGGGTCCATGGTGGCTCTGGCCTTCCCTAATCATGAAATGCATGGGTCTCCCTAGAGCAGCGGTTCTCAACCTGTGGGTCGCGACCCCTTTGGGGGTCGAATGACCCTTTCACAGGGGTCGCCTAAGACCATCGGAAAACACATCTATAATTACATATTGTTTTTGTGATTAATCACTATGCCTTAATTATGTTCAATTGGTAACAATGAAAATACATCCTGCATATCAGATATTTACATGACAATTCATAGCAATAGCAAAATTACAGTTATGAAGTAGCAACGAAAATAATTTTATGGTTGGGGGTCACCACAACATGAGGAACTGTATTAAAGGGTCGCGGCATTAGGAAGGTTGAGAACCACTGCTCTGGAGGGAGAAGCAGTTTTTGTCCCTATACATGAGGCTGCTACTGCTGGATACGCAGTCCTGGGGAGAGGTCCCATTCTCACTCTCAAAAGTCCCAGAACCAGCCAGCTCCCCTCCATCTCTGTGTACCTGGAATCACATGATATGCACACATTCCACCTACAAGATTGGCTGAGCCCCTGTTCCCTGCCTTCCTCCTCCTCTTCCAGATCCGGGAGCTGGTCCCTGAATCCCAGGCTTACATGGACCTCCTGGCGTTTGAGAGGAAACTGGATCAAACCATCATGCGGAAGCGGGTGGACATCCAGGAGGCTCTGAAGAGGCCGATGAAGGTGCCTTGGTTTAGGGGTGGGAAGGTGCTCTACGTCCTGTTCCCAGAATGGAGACGTGGGGTTGCGGAGTTGGCACACAGTGCTTGCTCTGTGGGACACTCTTTATTTCTACAGCAAAAGCGGAAGCTGCGTCTCTATATCTCCAATACCTTTAACCCTGCGAAGCCCGATGCTGAGGATTCTGACGGCAGCATCGCCTCCTGGGAGCTGCGGGTGGAGGGGAAACTCCTGGATGACGTACGTCTTGGCCCAGGTCTCTCCAGGTGTCCTGGGGTGGGTATGGGGCTGGACTGAGGACAGAACTAGATGTTTGCACTGAGGGTTAGGGAGTCAGCCCTGCCCAGGGTGGGTGGCCTGGAGGGACATCAGAGGTGCAGAGGCCTGCTTCTAACCATGCTGCCCTACCCAACCAGCCCCACCCCCTCCCAACTCGTTCTGCCCCCATGGTCCCTGTTCTGCCCCCACAGTCCCTGTTCTTCTCCCACAGCCCAGCAAGCAGAAGCGAAAGTTCTCTTCCTTCTTCAAGAGTTTGGTCATTGAACTAGACAAAGACCTTTATGGCCCTGACAACCACCTAGTTGAGGTAAGACCCAGACCCCACATTGCCCTAGAATTGCCACCCTTCCACAGGCCCAAGTCCCGCAGTCCCATCCGCTGCACAGGTTTGCACCAGGGACCTCCCTAGAGCCCCAAGCATCACCAGCCCAGATGGGCCTGTGACGTGACCCAGCTCTTCTCCCCTGGACAGTGGCACCGGACGCCCACCACCCAGGAGACGGATGGGTTCCAGGTGAAGAGGCCGGGGGACCTGAGTGTGCGCTGCACGCTGCTCCTCATGCTGGACTACCAGGTCCGTGCCAGTCCCCCACACCCTTTGGCCCCCCACACCCTTTCTCTTAGACAGGTGGGCGAAGGCCCCCAAGGTAGGCATCCCAAGAGACCCATCCTAACTCTGTCTCCAGAAGCACATTTCCAAGGAGCCCAATCACCATGTCGTACCCCCCACTTCCACCCCAGTCCCAAGCTGCCTGGCTTTGAGCTCTTTCCACTCCCTAATTTTCATGGTCACCTTTTCACAGCCTCCCCAGTTCAAACTGGATCCCCGCCTGGCCCGGCTGCTGGGCTTGCACACGCAGAGCCGCTCAGCCATCGTGCAGGCCCTGTGGCAGTATGTGAAGACCAACAGGCTGCAGGACTCCCACGACAAGGAATACATCAATGGGGACAAGTATTTCCAGCAGGTACCCTGAGCCCAGGATGTGGGGAGCAGACAGAGTCACCGGTAGGGGAAGTGCCTCTACGAAGCTAATACCACCCCTGCCTTTAGATTCTCAGGTATTAGAAACCATAGTCACTCTCTCAGAGCCAGAGGCCAGAGTCCTAGTCCAGGCCCTACCATGGTGTAGCTCTGTGCTGCATGTTCACCATCCCAGGTCAGGGAGGTCTGGAACCCCACAAAGCTCTCAGGAATGTAATATTCTTGGCACTTAGAGTTGGATCTCAGGGGTCTGGTCCTGGGTCCTGACTCTGGGTGAATTACTTGGCCATTTTGAGCCTTGTTCCTCATCTGTCCCATCTAACCCACTGGGCAGTTAGGAAAATCAAATTGCTATGAAAGGGGTTTGACAAAAATTCTACCAAAGTAGAGATTTTTTTTTTTAATCCTCACCCGAGGATATCTTTTTATTTATTTAATTTAAATATATTTTTATTGATTTCAGAGAGGAAGGGAGAGGGAGAAAGAGATAGAAACATCAATGATGAGAGAGAATCATGGATCTGCTGCCTCCTGCACAGTCCACATTGGGGATCGAGCCCGCAACCTGGGAATTGAATCGTGACCTCCTGGTTCACAGAACGACACTCGACCACTGAGCCATGCTGGCCAGGCTGAGGATATCTTTTTAAAATATATTTTTGATTTCAGCGAGAGGGAGGGAGAGGGAGATAGAAACATCAGTGATGAGAGAGAATCATCAATCCACTGCTTCCTGCACACCCCCTACTGGGGATCCAGCCTGAAACCTGGGCATGTGCCCTGACTGCGAATCGAACCATGATCTCCTGGTTCATGGGTCAGCATTCAACCACTGAGCCGATAGTTTTCCCCCATTGACCTTTTTAGGGAGAGTGGGAGGGAAGAGGGAAAGAGAAACATCAATGTGAGAAACACATTGACTGGTTGCCTCCTGCATGTGCCCTTATGGGGCTGGGGATAGAACCTGCAACTGAGGTATGTGACCTTGACCCAGAATTGAACCCATGACCCTTCGGTCCACAGGCTGACGCTCTAACCACTGAGCAACCAGCCAGGGCAGTAGAGATTATTCTTCATACATTTTAAATAAATACAGCAGATAAACCTGAGGAGTAAAAAGAACAGTTGATGTTTATTGAGCACATACCATGTGTCAGGCAGGTATGTTCCAAGCACGTTGAGTGTACTGATGCACTGAATTCTAACCACAACCCTGAGAGAGGGGTACTACTATTATCCCCATTGTAGAGATGAAGAAACTGAGGTCTGAGTCATTAAGTAACTTGCTCAGGCTGCAGAGTAAGTGGTGGGAGCAGGATTGGTATCTAGGCAGGCAGACCCAGGGTCCATCCTCAACCACTGCACCGCACCAGCCCATGGGCCCCTAGTTTCAGACCCGTGACTCAGATGCCCCTGGCTTCTTGTGGCCTTTCCGGAATGGATCTAGAACTGTAGTTATGCCCTTTCCAAGCACAAAAGAGTGACCTCTTCCTCCTGCCTCAGATTTTTGATTGTCCCCGGCTGAAGTTTTCTGAGATTCCCCAACGCCTCACAGCCCTGCTGTTGCCCCCTGACCCAATTGTCATCAATCACGTCATCAGGTGAGGCCCTGGCTTGCTCCTCAGACCGGGGAATCATTTCCTCCTGTCCTGCCTGTCCCCCCTATCCCAACGCCCCCTCCCTCCCCACTGCGTCTGCCCTGGGGCCCTTGGCCTCTGTGGAGGCAGGTGAACTCCAAGGGCTGGACTTCCTGGCAGCGTGGACCCGTCGGACCAGAAGAAGACGGCGTGCTATGACATTGATGTGGAGGTGGAGGAGCCACTGAAGGGGCAGATGAGCAGTTTCCTCCTGTCCACGGCCAACCAGCAGGAGATCAGCGCTCTGGACAGTAAGGTGGGGCCAGAGCCCAGAGCTGCAGTGGGATGTTAACCCAGAAATGACAGAGTACAGACAGAATAGACACGAGCATGGGCCTATGAAGAGATGAAGGACTTAACACCCCCTCCCCTGGGACTGCAGAGGCCTGGGGCCCGAGGGACTGTTCTTCAAAGGAACAGCAGCAGCCCTTCCCCCACGTGCCTGCCTCCCCCTTCCCCCTTCTTCCACATCACCACAGCCAGGTGAAGCTTCTGTCTTTCTACCTGTAGATCCATGAGACGATTGAGTCCATAAACCAGCTCAAGATCCAGAGGGACTTCATGCTAAGCTTCTCCAGAGACCCCAAAGGCTACATCCAAGACCTGCTCTGCTCCCAGAGCCGGGACCTCAAGGTGAAGGGGACTTGGGGAGCACTGGATGGAAGACAAGCATATCAGGAAGACAGTAAAGGTTGTACACAGGGGGGGAAGGGCCCGGGCTCAGGGCTGATTCCACTCTCCCTCCCAGGTGATGACAGATGTGGCAGGCAACCCTGAGGAGGAGCGCCGGGCTGAGTTCTACCACCAGCCCTGGTCTCAGGAAGCGGTCAGCCGCTACTTCTACTGCAAGGTGTGAAGGGGCCCGGGCACCTTAGGCCCCTCCTCACTGAGAAACTTCCTTCCTCAGCCTCCGGTGCCTTTGCCACTCCACCATGTCCCTCACCTCCTGGGAGCCCTCCCTGCTCCCAGATGCTCTTCCAGGGTGGGCAGCGGGTGGTTGGGGTCGTCCTGTCACTCACCAGCAACACCGTAACCCTGCTCCTGCTCTCATTTCTCTAAAGATCCAGCAGCGCAGGCAGGAGCTGGAGCAGTCGCTGGTGGTGCGCAACACCTAGGAGCCCTGCAAATGAGCACCGCGGGCCAGGGCCACCTGACCCAGGCTCTGCCAGCACCCCTCTGCCCACCTGTGGGAGGTGGGGAACTGGATTAAAGGTCATTCATCTGCTAGCAGCTGTGTGGTCATTGGCAACTGGGAGAGAGGGGGCAGGGGGAGGCAGTAGGTCCCTCTGGGAAAACTCCCCAGCCCCTCCCTCAGATTCTTCTCCTGACTCCGTTTCCCTAGACCTAAAATCACTTTGGCAGAAGACACTTTTAATCACATTTTCTTATTTAAAAAAAATACAGCCACAAGCTCTCCATCCATCTTGCCTTGCCCTCCTGGGGCTGAGGCAGAAAGGGGAACCACACGGCAGGCCGAGGCTAGGTGCTGTTGCCCTGCTCTTGCTCGAACAGGGCCATGGCCAGCTGGGCCCGGCCGGCCAGCCCCTCCAGGTTGCTTAGGCGGCAGCGGTGGTAGAGTTCCTCACTGAGCCGAGGGCTGCAGTCCCGCAGGGAGAACTTCTGCACCAGCCCTGGCTCCACGGCTCGGAAGAGGTGGAGCCCTGAGAACCGGAGGAACACATCCATCACCTCCAGCCCCTCCAGGGCTTCCTCCTCTTCCTGGCCTGCCAGTTCAGCAGCCAGCCGCGCGCGGGCAGCCAGGTAGTCGGCATTGTAGAAGCAGCCCTCCGCGGAAGCCTGGCGGTCAAACCGGCCTCCTCCGGGAGCCCCCCGGGCAGGGTCAGCACCAGGAGGGGATGGGGGGTCAGGGCCAGCCCCCGGGGGAGACTTCTGTGGTGCCAGGGCGGGGTGGAACTCCTGGAAATGGACGGGGAAGAAGGCCTGCCAGCCAGAGATGGCATTCATGCGGCAGCGGTTGAGCACCTCTGGTCCCGGCCGGGTCCACACAGTGGTGAGGAAGAAAAGCGTGTCCACCGGGTGCTTCTTGGACACCACGTCCATGAGCCGTACCTGGGAAGGGGCCTCCGCCCGCACTGCGAGCCAGGCCAGCCTCGTCCCAGGGTACCGTCGCTCCAACTCGGCCACTGCAGCCTTCACCCCGAGAAACGGGTCCAGGGCCCCTCGGCCACCTTCCTGTGGCCCATAGACCAGCAGGAGGGTGAGCAACACATGCTCTCGTGGCTCCAGAACGCTGGCCGCAAAGGCCTCGAGGAAAGCAGGGGCCAAAGCAGCTTCCGCCACCAGGAGCGGCAGCACCAGCTGCACACGGGTGGCCTCTGTGACATAGGGCATAGGTAGGATTTCCACTCGACTCAGCGGCCGAAGCAGGCTGACCCTGCGGGCCAGAGCCCGCCGGTGCCCACGCTGCGTCACAGCTTCCAGCAGTAGGTCCAGGGTGTACTCCATGCCCCGCGCTGGGTCAAAGCGCCGGTAACCATTGAGCAGCCGCTGCTTCTGGAATCGCAGCCGGGGCTGATAGCGCCGGTTCAGCTGCTCCAGAGCCGTCTCCACAGCATCGCCCACGTCCGCCCGGCTAGCCCCTTGCAGTGGGCACTTGGGCGCCCCATCTGCACAGGAGAAGGTGTGCTGTTCTGTGAAGTAGTCCCAGCCCAGCACCTCAAATCGAGAGCGTGGTGTGAACGGGGCCGGGAGCCCCACAGGCCAGCTCAGCCCTGCCTCCCCCTCGGGGGTCAGCACGGTCAGGTTCCGGATCTGAGCCTAGGGCAGGAGGGACACACAGTTAGTAAACCGGGGGAGCTAGGTAGTCCTCAGGACCCGACCCGCCCGGGCTCTGCGCTCTGTCCTGACACTTAGTGGGGTGCCCCTTGGCTAATCACTCAATTCCCTGTACCTTACATCCTTCCTCTACAATCGCAATCGGCATATGAATTACACCCCCTGTACACAGATGCAGTGAGGAGGCCGGCGGGGAGGAATGTGCTTTGGCAGACAGACCTTAAAGCATCCTGAAATACAAAGCTCAACGGCTCCCCCTCCAAAACCCAAAGTACTCCCATCCTCCTGAGAACACACCTTTGTGTGCACCTGTACTTCCCCTCTGACAACCCCACAATAAACTAGAATATTCTTCAAACCCTTGGTTTTTTTAGGACAGTGATAGAAATTAGGGGACTTTGGGATTGTGGCCTCCTTGGTGGAGAGGTGCACTGTTCCGAGCCCTGACCCTCTCAGTTCACCATCAAACCCTTCTAACTGCCTCCGGGTCTTTCCAGGAGCTCATCTGATGATTGGCCTGGACCCAAGAGCCCCTTCTCTCTAGAGCTGCTTTAAATTTAGGTACAGTTAGCCCTAGCCTGTCTGGCTCCCTGGATAGAGCACTGGCCCAAGGACTAAAGGATCCTGGGTTTAATTCCAGTCAAGGGCATGTACCTCATTTGCAGGCTTGATCCCCGGCCCTGGTCGGGGCATATGTGGGAGGCAACCAATGGATGTGTCTTGTCTCTCTCACATCAATGTTTCTTTCTGTCTCTCCCCCTCCCTTCCACTCTCTCTAAAAATCAATGGAAAAATATCCTTGGGTGAGGATAAAAAAAAATTTAGGTATGGTCAGCTTCTTCCTACCCCACCAGCCTCCCCCTCAGCTGCCACTCACTCCAGCCGACCCGGCTCACCTGCAGTTGCTCTATTTCGCTGTACGTCTGCTCCAGCTCCAGGGTGCTGAAGCGCTTGTGGAGCCGGTACATGAGGGTCCCCTCCGATACAGGGTGCACTGCAAAGGCACTCAGGAAAGCCGAGCTCCCCTCCTTCTCCGGGTCTCTATTTTTGGCCAGTTCAAATGAGCGATACTGCTGCCCCTAGAGGGACCAATCAGACCAATCAGTGCCACACACGGAGGGCTGCCCGTCTCAACCAGCCCTGACCAAACCCAGCATTCACCCCCATAACTGCTGCTGCCGTGCAAGGACGGAGGAAGCGGGGGCTCAGTCCAGTGTCCCCTTAACCTTGGCCTTACTCTCACTGCTAAATTTTGGAAAAAAGAATGTTCAGTAGGCAACTAAGGGTACTCTCTTCCCCAGAGAGCCCCACTGTTTCTCCAGGGAATGAACACCATGAGCCAGCAAGTACTCCTATGATACCAGTCCCAGAGACAGGGCAGCTCTCAGGGCTAGAACAGGGATTACCTCACTTCTCCAGGAGCGTAGCCATCTCTAGAACATTCCCAGATTGTTCACGACTGTGCGTGTGTCAGGGAAGGGGTGGAGGAAGGGGGGCAGATGGATGGAGGACTGAGGAGGGGGCACCTTTTATCTTCTCACAGGGTCCCTGACAAGATGCCCCCGGGGCTAAGACTGCCTGAGGGTAGCAGGGCAGCCAGAGGCACACTCCGTATCTGTGAAGGGCAAACCAGAGGCCGCATGTGCTGCCGGGAAGGAGCCAGCATCACCTAGCCTGGAGACCAATCCCTCAGTCAATACTGTTGTCAGGGACCCCGACTGACTTGAAAGGGCTGTCACCTGGTGCTGTGAGACACAGCCGATGCCCAGAGAGTCGATGAGGCAGCGGCCAAGCCACTCGTCAGGACGGGCACTGAGAATGTCCCCTCGGCAGCCATCCAGATGTGGCCGCAATCGAAGCAGGAGACTCCGAGACAACAGGTAGCCAAAGCCCCCATGGCAGTACCGGGCCTGCTCGCCGGCGCCAATGAACTCCTCCGCCCGGCCCAAATACAGGTCTTGGTTGATGCTGAGGTGGCCAGCAAGGGCTGCCAGGCGGGGGGCCTGCACATACGTGTCATCCTGCATGATGAAGAACCAGTCGTAGTCGGCCCCAAAGTGTGTGTGGAGATGGCGCAGGGTCTCCGACATGAGCCAGGCCGGTCGCTCGTCCCCATGAGATACCACCTGCATCCCCGCTGGAGCCCGGGCCCCCCGCTGCCCAGTGAAGTAGAGCAACCGCGGGAAGTGGTGGGCCACGGTGCGGTTCACAGCCACGGCCAAAGTGGACAGCGTGGCCCGGGAAGTCAGGACAGCCACCAGCAACCGCTCCCGAGAGCCCAGCTCTGTCTGGATGTACCGAGTCCTGTGGAGAGACCAGTCTGTCAAGGGTCAGCTCCCTCATCTCAGGAACCCAGGTTGTATAGCATACACACCCCTCTAGAAATGAGGGAGTTGGAGGTGAGAAAAGAGAAGCAAGAGACCTCCTCATCAGTATTAATTAGCTCCTGGAGTAAGCATCCTCTGAACAGCTGACACTGGGGAGGGGTTTACTAATGCTGGACTAGACGAAGTAGATGCAATTCCTACCCTATCTAAGAACATCCAGCACTAATGTAACACCAATAGGTGAGACTTTCTTAGACTGAGGAAGCGGGGAAAAAAGAAATAGAACCACGATGGTAAGAATTGCTCCACGGGGCCCAACACACATTACCACTGAAGGCAGAGGCAAGGCCTTAGAGCAGCCCTGAAGTGGGGTCGGGGGCTATGCACGCATGCAGCTCTCACCTCAGCACCTTCTTGTAAGGCTTGTTGGGATCCCTATAGTAGGGGACAATCCGGGGTTTGAACTCTTCATCACTTTGGTCAAGCCCAATTCTTGAGTCAGGATTCTGCAGGCCTCCTGGTTCCCCCACAGCCTCTACACAGGGATCTTCTCCCTCACCCTGGATCCAGGAAACCCGCAAGAGGCTCAGGCTGCATCCCAGAGACAGCCCCAGGATGAGGGGCAGCGCTGGTCGCAGAAGAGCCAACAGGGAGCTCAGTCGCATGGTGGTAGGCCCTGCTGTGCGCATGCTCCGGAGGGCACAGCCTCAAGGATCACTCAGTAGGTTGACGGGTGCCAGGCCAGTGGTAGGCATGCAGTTTTAACCAGGGAACCTGGGGCCCATGAGCTCAGCAGCAGAACAAGGCGTGTTTGCTTCCAGACCCAGCATCCCCAGGAAGCTGGACGGTCCCGTCTTCACAATCCTGTCTGGCTGGTCTCCAGTTATCAAAGTGCCAGATCTAACCCTCAGTCCAGACGGTAATAAATATTAGACTCCAATTCGCCCACTAACGGCTTATGGCCTGTCTTCCCGTAGAAAAGAGAGGCAACACCACTCACTCCTGCCAAACGTAACCCGAAAGGCCCACGCACACCTGCAGACCAAGTCAGGAGCCAGCAGCAGCTGCTGTAGAAGGGGCAGGGGAAAGCACCTGCT